TTTGAGAACAAGTCTTAAGGACAAAAGGTGATTGAGAAAGGCTGGTCTCAGTCTTATAATGGTTAACCGGAGAAACAATTTTATAATTTTATCACTTTAAAACTAGAAGTTTTACACATCAGGGGGGCTTATCAATACGAAGAAATACTTCTTGTATTTCCTCCCGTGTGCCATTGTATTCATGCAGGATTACCTTGACAACAACAACAACAACATAAGAGCTGGGACAATAATAGCGACCATTTAGTGAGGATGTAGTATATTTTCTCAGTATCAGTCGCAGTCTTCATCTCTGCAGGACAGAAAGTCCTCTTTTTGGAAAATAGTATGATTCCCTCTTTGCAGAACCTTTGTCAGCCCTCCGGTTTAGAGCTTCTGTCTGCTCTGTTATTTCTTTCATACAGCGTTGGGGACAGAGATGTGCTGCCCAGGAGGGGGCAGGTGGCACTGCGACCCACTGGCCTTCCTTTTGGGGGAAGCTTTGGACAAGGGACCCCCCTGGCTCCCTGTAAAATGCCTCCACGTGGGTTTAGCACACACGGAGCCTGGGGTGCGCGTTCCCTAGTGAAGAGGTTCCTTTTTACAGGCTATGTCTTTATAATGGACGCTGAGATTCTTATTCTGAAATTGGCGCTAAAGTTTGCCTTTACCTCCTCTCGATGACTACCATCTCTATCATTCAGGAGTGACCAGTGGAAACACACCCCACACCAGGCAAATGTCCCCCTTTGCTCCATAATATAATATATTGTATTCATTCTGTAAGCTCCTCCAAATGACAATGAGGATAGTGACAATAGCAGCTAATGTCTTCAGAGCACTTAATGTGTCTGTCAGATGTCGTGCTAAATGCTTCAATAAACCGTATCCTTTCATCCCCACAGTAAGCTCATGAGTTGCCGTTCTGTGTTTATCGCCACTTTACATACGTGGTAATATGGGCTCGAGTTAAACAGCCTGTGCCCGGTTACACAGCTGCTGGGTGATGGAGCCAGCAGGGTGTGGGACTCACAGGCTCACAGTGTTTGATTACCGCACTACGCTGCTACACCCTGAACCTGCGCCTCGTGTACACCTGCCTTCTTTGGAGGGGTTCTGGGCCTTACATAAATGCGTAGACAAATATTTTTTCTTGCATTTCATCTTCTGGCGATTGCTTTTGGATCTGAAGAAATATAGGTTGTGTTTATGGAAGTGTCCTCTGCCTGTGTTTGTGGATGTCTATTCAAGATATGGCTTCAACTTCTGAGATAAAATAGCCTGAAAGCATTAAACTCTCATTGGAGAGTCCATGAGCTCTGGTAGTAGAATAGATTGGTAGCTCCTCTCAGTTCATTTTCTGGAATTATTTATCAAAAATTGGCTCCACTCAGTGGTCATGCATGTAATCCTAGCACTTTGGGAGGCTGAGACAGGAGGATTGCTTGAGGCCAGGAATTCGAGACCAACATGAGCAAGCATGAGACCCTGTCTCTATAAAAAATAGGAAAATTAGCCAGGCATGGTGGTGCATACCTGTACTCCCAGCTACTCAGGAGACTGAGGCAGGAGGATCACTTGAGCCCTGGAGTTTGACGTTGCTGTGAGCTATGATGATGCTACTGCACTCTAGCCCGGGCAACCGTGTGAGACCCTGTCTCGAGTAAAAGCACAGGTCAATTTCCTGCTGGCCCCAGATCACTTTGACCTAGTCTACATACACAGCTGAAGAATTCTTAAAGAGAAGTCCAGGCTTCAGGGAACATGGCAATGAGGTGGGGCACACAGAGAGCTCGGCATTGAGTGTCATTCAGACCCGGGCCCCCAGTGAATGGACATGTCTGAGTGGAGTCTGATCTGATCGTTGGTGCCTGTCACAATGTGACAATGAAGGCCTCTGCCAGGCCACAGCACACAGAAACCACCAACCCTGTGACCCAGTCCCAGCATGGTCTCCTAAGTAATCTGCCCATCCACTGTAGCTACAGGAATATGTGGGATGAGTCCTGCAAAAAAAAATAATAATAACTTTATTACTATGAAGGTTCAGAACTTTTTGTTATTTTACTGAAGATGACTTTCTGTTTAATAAAATCTTTTAAAGTGACCTTAAGTATTTTTGGCCCGTGATATCAGCTGTAGAATTCTGAAAGCCATGCTTTATACAGGTAACCGATTTTAGGGTTGCTTTATTTTTGGAGACTAAGGTGAGGTGGGTGTTAAAAATCGCAGATCACAGAGTTATAACCTATTGTTTGGGACACTTGTTCCACTATTGACCAGGTCCTTTCTGCGGGACGAAATGCAGAGGTGGAACTCTTATGTCCCTTCCCAGTGAGTGTCCCCCACCATTAGAAAGATGAAAGAGAGTCAAAGTAAATACCTTTTTCTTCTGTTCAAAGCCTCTTTTTTTCTTTTTCTTCCTGAAGCACTGCTATTGAGCCTATCCATTTTTCCTCCGTAGCCTCTTGCACCAAAGCTGCCCCGTGTCACCTGCAAGTCAATTACGGAGGGAAAAACACACAAAGCCATTACAAGGAAGCAAAAACTATAAAAGGTTTGACAAGCCCTGAGAACGCTGACACACAGCTAGGCCACAAGAAAGTAAGGACAGGGAGGATTTCTCTCTGAAAGGATCAAGGTTCATGTGTGGAGGAAGCTACGATGTAGGTAGTTTTCAAGTAAGGACGATTGGGACTGGATTTGAAATTGAAAATTTTTTTTTGAAAAAGCAGATGTTTTGGCTTATTATCCACATATGAATGTATTTTAAGCATGTTCCTTAAAGAGTGGGAAATAGAGAAAAGAAGTCAATGATGTTTGCTCTACGCCACCCTTAATGGTCTGAGATAGAACAACTTGCCAAGGGCAGGAAGGAAGGCGAGGTGCACTGGTTAGCGCGGTATTCAATTCAGTCAGTAGATCTTCCATTTCCACCAGGAGCAAAGCAAGTCAAAGTGAGAGCTAAGATTTACAAAGAAAAAATTAGATTAGGCATTACACAAAGTGAAAAGAAAGAAGATAGCGGTATTCATCACCAACATAGAATATAAAATTTGCCCCCTAACTGGCTTCCTTTCTTCCTCCCTGGCCCCCTACATCCTCCAGCCTATTCTCAACACAGCAGCCAGAGGGACCCTTCCAAAGGCCTCGGATCATGGACCTCATCTGCTCGACACCCTCCAGCCCGACAGCATCCGGGCTCCGCCAGCCTTGCACCCACCTCGTCTCCTGCTGCTCTCCCTCCCTCACTAGGCTCAGCCACGTGGCCTCCTGGTCCCTCTTGAGAGGCCCCACTCCAGGGCCTCTGCACACCCTCCTGCATCTAGAGAGCTCTTCCCCTAACCATGCGACTCCCTCGCCTCCTTCAGGCCTTTGAGCCAACATCCCCTTCTCACTGAGGCCGCCCTTGACTGTTCCACTTAACTCTGCAACCCTTCCCACCCTGTCTTGTGTTTCTGCATAGCGCTTACCACCCTCTGGCATATTCTATATCCTACCTCTTTACCATCTTTCCTCCTCCTCTTAAGATGCAAACTCTAAAAGCACAGGGAATGTTTTGCCTCTCTTGTTCACTTTTATAGTTGCAGAGCCTAGAGCAGTCTTGACGTAAAGTAAGCGTTCAATACAGAGTTGCTGAATCAGTGGACACACGCGTGAACACGACCACCTACTCATGGGGACTGACGGGGTGTTCACCAGAGGGAACCGCTGGCTCGGTTCTGCGTCACAGGCCCGCTGGCTGGAGGGTGAGCTCCAAGACAGGAGGAGAGTCAGGAAGAGAAGAGAAGGTCATCACGCCTAGAGACTGAAGGATTATATGTCCTGGAATTAATATCTTAAGTGCCCTTCCGAACAGGAGCTGTCCAACAAATACATAGGCTCTGATTCTTGAGAAAAAAAAGTTTATTCTCACCACCTTTTACTCTTCCAGACTGTTAATAGTATAAATTCTTGCATAAACCTAAAGAGAATAGACAAGATGTTTAGCCTTGAAATATATTCTGTGATTTTTTTTTCTCATAAATTTGATCTATTAATTAAATCTCATCCATAGCACTGATTGTATGATTGCGAGCTTGCGAGCTGGCTGGCAGGGAGGGAGGGAAGAGAACACTGACCCCTGGATGATACGCTTCCGGGTGGCGGTAGACCAGCCGCACCTGGAATCTAGACCAGCCCCTCACAGATATTAAGCCACAGAGACATCTCTTTGGGGAGAAGGTACAGGAGAGAGATGTGGGCAGCCAGGGGCAGGAGTGTGAGAAAAAGCGGTAGAATTAATAGATTTAGCCCCTGTGGTTTCTTCTACATACAATCATTAGAAACTCAAAACACAATTGAAGCCTTTATTTTAGCAAACCCAAACTATTTCTTGCACATACCGTTTGCTCAACACAGAGTTTAAAAAAAAGAAATTCTTCCTAAACATAATTTCATTAGAGCAGTTGACACCCAGACAGGCACCACCCACCAGCTTTCTTGGACATCGATATGTCTTGCCGAGAGGAAATTTCTGGCTTGTGCAGCTTGATTCTGAAATTACCATAATCTCTACTCTCCAGAGGCTGTGACTGGTGAAGTGGATTAGTGCCCAAGCCTTCAGGGTCTCTGGAGAGAAGAGTTCAAATCCCGAGCTTAGGTCATAAGTAAAGATGAAGGAGGCTGGTCTAGCAGTTTATCCCCCTTGGGGAACAGTGAAAGGCACAGCTAGTTATGATTATTAATCTCGTTCAGAAGCAGCACAGCCAGAAATGTGGAGAGTTGATCCTCATCCAGAGAAACTGGCACGGCCCACAGGCTCCTAACTCTCTCAATTCACTCTGGGCTTTTTCAAACACAATGTGAATTTTTTCAAAAGAAATCACAGTGTGACTGTTCACTGGCAGAAAAAAAAGCATGTTATTTTGCAGAACTGCCCAGTTGGGCTCAAATAATTTAATGGAGATAAAGTAGTCTGCGATTATCAGCACATTATGAAAAGAGGGACAGATCAGTTTTCTCACCTTCTCTCTTGACAGGTGTATTTCTACTGGATTTGCCGGGATGCGAGCGCTTTTGAGTGGTTTGCCGATCTCTTACTGTCGCTGGAAACACGGATGAGTGAGCAAGGGAAAACTCACTTTCTGAGTTATCACATATTTCTCACTGGCTGGGATGAAAATCAGGTATTGATAAGAGTCAAGCAATATTAACTGACTCATGTAATATAGAGCAAACAGAAGAGGAACAATTTCAATAAAGAACTGTGTATTTCTCTGATAGCATGAAAGAATTCTTTTCATGTTCTTAAAAAGGAAAGGAGAATGAAATAAAACCAGATTAGAAAGCACTGTTCAGATGATTGTGACAATAAAAGGACCTACAGTTAACTTGCTGAGGGAGTGGAACGCTTGGGCAATGGAAGACAATCCAGAGGTTGGAAATCCCAAATAAATTTGCGTTTGTCCTCTTAAGCGTGACATTCAGTGAATATCACTGATTGGCTGTATTGTCTTGTTGACTTCCTAATTGGTTCTAATTCTATGCTTTGAGCTGTTCAGAGTAAAACAGAAAAGATTCCAAGGTGTTTACATTTGACATTTTGTAGTCTAAAGTATGTGAGCATTTACAGAAAATAATTATTATACATACATGATTTGTCTAGAGATTTCTTTTTCTTAAGGCGTTCTTAGAAATTGTGTACACCTATGTTTATTTGCCTAAGACCAAGATGATCTTCTGTTTTGGCAGCCGTTCTATATTGTATTAATGAAATATTAAGATAGAGTTTACCAAAAATAATGTATGTCAAAATATGGACAATGGTAGTATTTCAATGTTGATAATATCAAATAACTATTACATTTTAATCCATTTTAACTCCTCAAATCTGAGAATTAACAATGAAGTGATTACTAGGTTATGCAATGTATATTCTAATTGGCACTTCTGCGGCTCCTATTATTGATATATACTTTTAAGAAAAGTGTGTTTGAGTGCAGGGGATTTTCATTAATCACTAAATTTACAAACACATGCTTTGTGTGTGTATCACACACACACACACACACACACACACACACATACCATTCACTGGCCCTATAGAACATCACTGTAATTTGAGTCTGTACTTCTGGGAAAATGAATAAGACTTTGCTAGAAATCCAGTAGCTTAATGAATGTTTATGGTCTTAGTTGCAGTCCTACTTAAATATTTAATCCTTTGGGATAATTTGAAATGTAGATGCCTTGGAAACTAGGCTTGAAACATCTTAATGAATTATATAGTGTTAATTAAGTTTTCCAAACAAACATTTTCCTTATTCAAGTAGGATTTTTAATTGATGATCCATTTGGCGAAGGACGGACACAGCTTTTGTCTTTTGCTTCCTAGAACCATGCTTGCTCTTCTAGTTCTAGAGCCAACTGACCCCAAGTACCTGCCTAGACTTTCCCTGTCATTGGGGGTTGACACTGAGTTCTCATAACTGAGCACTGAACTTGATTTTGTGACAACACAACCCTGCCCCCTCCCGTCTCTGCCACTATAAAAGTGTGCTATAAAAGATAATTTTTTTTTCCTAAATACAAGTAAATTAAAATACTTGTCTTCTTAAATTTTTGCCATGACATGTCAGAAATTATTTAGACTCCCAAATTTCAGACAGGAAATCACTAATCTCAACATTTAAGGAAAAAATAATTGGTGCATTCTGTCAGTAAAGAATCAAGAGGCTGTTTTAGAAATAGCCAGTTGTTAAGCTGAATTCAACAACCTAAAGTGGCAAAATGACATGAACAGACGGGACAGATGGAAGAGGTATTATGAAGGGCAAATCAACAGAGTTTGGAGATTAATTGAACATTGGGCTGAAAAATATGGAACAAATATAATTCCAAATGTTTGAACATCAGTCATTGGCTGCACCACAAACGGAAGTAGGGAAGGTCCTTTTTTGTCTGAAATCAGGCCCAAACTTCTTCGCAAGTACTTTAAGCCTCTTCCCAGGCTGACTCCCACACACTGGTCCTGTCCTACCCCCGTCATTTTCCTCAGCCCCAGAGCAGCCAGGATACGCACTGGCCCATCACACCGTGCCCTTTCATTCTCCCACATCTTTGTCTCTGCTCATGCTATTCCCCCTCCCTGACTCATCACTTGACACCCCCTGCCATTTTCCCCCACCCTCTCTTTGCCTGGAGTGCTATTCCCAAACTCCTTTCTATTAATGGCCCTGCCATTTCTGAGATGCAGTCTGCCATTATCTGCTGGCCTGTTCAGGCACTTCCATTATTCCCGGCTGAACCTCCCTAGCCTCAGCTGCTTTCTTAGACAGGTGAGACGGTCAGCCAGGGAAGGCAGCAGGGAACCTGGGACATGAGCTGTGCCCAGCAGGGTTGTCACCTGAGCTGGCCAGGATTGGGAAGAGTCAGAGGGTGAGAGCAAATTGAGCACCAATAGGTAAAACATGTGTGCTCAAGAGCTGTTGCTGGGAATACAACAGGGGCCACAGCTCCCCAGAGGTAAGAAGCAAGGTAGTTACCAGAATGCAGTAGGGGCTAAAACAAATGGCAGCAACTTAAAAACTGATCACGAGGGATTGATATGCCCTGATCTCTTGTTTATTGATGACTAGCGCCATGTTGCCTGGGTGGTTTGCTTAATTTGAAGGCAGATGGTTGGGCACAGAGCTCCCGCCACGCCCCTTGCTAGGCTCTGGCCACCACATCCTACCTGCCAGACTCAACATCCTCCTAGCACATGAAAGCAGACAGCAGACATTGAACCGTTTCAACCCACTAGGCAGATCTGATTGTACGTAAGATGCACTTTCTCCCTGGACATCTCATTGCACTTTAATCTGGCAATGCCCTTCTCCAATCCCCAGGATATAATATGAAGGGAAGGTGGACAGCAAGTATGGATTAATTTTTGAGAAGTTTGGCAGCAAAAAAAAAGGAAGTCATTTAGTGCTTGCTTTTTCTTAGCCACATTTACTTTATCACTCTTGTCCTTTTAAAGAAAATATTCTTTCGGGTTAATGTTACCGCATACCTACTAAGTAAGTACAAGGAGGCACTTTGTTCTCATAAGTCCCCATACAAAGATAAATGAGATAGGATGCTTGCCCTAAAGTGCAAAATTGATGATATCTGATAATAATGATAAGCATTTCTAGCCTCGTAAAAAAATTGTATTAAATCTACAAATGAGCATAATTACTTCATCCTTTAATTATAGAGGCTTCCATTTTTTTTTTTTTCCTAAATGTCATCTGATCCCACACTTTGTACTTTAGGCCATTCACATAGCTTTACATTGGGATGAAAACACTGATGTGATCACAGGCTTAAAGCAGAAAACCTTCTATGGGAGACCTCACTGGAACAACGAGTTCAAGCGGATCGCCTACAACCACCCCGGGTAAGGCAAGCTCTCTTTCCTCTGCCTGCCGGGAGCCTCCCTGGAGAAATACGAGCTGCTGCTGAAATGAAAAGTTTAATCTGCAATACTGCACATCTTGTTTAGAGACAAAACCTCTACCTTAGAAAAGGTGGTAATGGTATATTTCAAGAACCACAAACCTCTGCTTAACTGGTTTACAACTTCTGACAGTTATTATGTTGAAATTTTTCACATTTAACCTCAATTTAAAGATGGTATTTTTTCAGCTATATATGCCTTCAAGAAATCTTTGTTGCATACAGTTGATCTGTAATTACTCAACTGGAGAATTCACTTATGTCCAGCTGCACGCTGTATCTAGCATGTCTAGCAAAAGCAGAGAGAAAGCGTTATAAGACCAAGCAAGGATTTAGGGTGGTGGTTAAGGACCCAGGATCTGGCTATAAATCCAAGCTCTCCCTTTACTACTGGTTGACTTTGAACAGGTTATCTATTCTGGAGCTGACTCAGTCTCCTCCTCTACAATCTGCAAATAATAATAATACTTTCCTTGCAGGATTCTGCAAAAATTAAATGAATGAATATCTGTTAAGGGACCTAAAACAGTGCTTTGTATGGAGCACTTAGGAATTGTTAGCTGCTATCTTCACTATTATTATTATTATCATCATCATTTCAATTATTACTATATAGATACTATTAGCATTATATAATAAACTTCAGTGTAGAGAAGCAAGAGCACTTCCTCTGGGGGCCGCAGATTGGGGTGAAGCGTGTACTTCCTGTTTCTAGGAGTTATTGTCTGCATGACCTTGGATAAGGCAGCTTATTTAAGCTTTTGAGCTCCATTGTAAAATATGGATTATAATATCTACTCACGGTATTTTTCTCATAATTTAAATATATAATTAGAGAAAATATAGTGAAGAGCTTGGGAGAGCATAAAGCACAAATGCAGACAGTCACTGTTGTTACATGTCTCCTACGTCAGTCTTTGTTTCCATCCTTCATCATCCATGGCTCTTGAAAGTCAGCATTCCTAATATTGTCTTCATTAAAGAACAGTTTCCACATTTGAGGAAAGATCTGAAAGAAAAGTGGGAGTGTGCCATGGGACAACTGGGAAGGGCACGTGCCAAGGCCCTGAGGCAGGAGTCACTGTTCCCGGCATAATCAAGGAGGCTGCTGGTTGGAACAGAGGAGGCAAGAGGGAGACAGCACTTAGGAGAGGAAACAGGGACAGCGGCAGGTCATTGTAAAACTTTGCATTTTATTCCCAGAGGGGAAGCCACTTGCAGGTTTGCACAGAAGAGTGACATGGGATCACTCTGGTCTCAGTGGGAGAATAGATTGTTAGGGGGCTGGGACAGAGAGCCCAGTGAGGAGGAAGCTGGTGGCTTGGATGAGGGGGCAGCAGTAGAGGTGGTGATAGGTGGCTGGAGTGGGGGTATTTTGGAAGGTTGAGCTGACGTGGCATGCTGATGGATTGGACGCGAGGAATGACCCAAGCTGGAATGGAATTCCCACTCACTAATGTGGCAGTGACGGTGAGAGGAGCTGCTTGGCAGGTGTGGGGCATCACGAGTTCCATTGTTGACAAGTTTAGCCTGTGATGTCTGCGATGCATCCACGTGGAGATGGGGAGTGGGCAGAGGAACAGAAGAGGCAAGAGCTCAGGGGAGAAGTTCAGCCGGTGGTGTCAGCACATAAACTGTGTTTAGAGCTGTGAAACTGGATGGGACGACCAAAGGAGCAGATACTGATCAACCAGAGTTCCAAGAACCACGACGTTTGGAGGGTAGGGAAATGGACTCTGTATTTGCAGGTCACAGAGTTTAGTACGTATTACTCATACCCTCCTTATTAATCATGTCACTTAGGCCTTCTGTACCCTGCCCTTTTCCTGTCCACTGTATTGGAGTTAAACCAGTACGAGCAAGCACAAGTCCACTTGGGTATCTCTGACCCCTCTCCACCCTCCGAGACTACCCCATCATCTTGCCATCTCCTCCCTCAGCCCGTTGCATTTCCGCCTCGTGGGCTCCCTTCAGAGAAGGCATGCTTCATTAATTTTTGTGTAGTTCCTTAGTATTTTTTCTGCTCCATAGGATACTTCTCTGCTGAATATTATTCATCTTTTGGTCAGTTTGGCTATTCCTTTTTACATTTTTTTCTTATATTCTCCTTGTGCCAAGACTATGCCATTTTCCTTCTTATCAGGTGCATTGACTGTTAGACTTCCCCAGTCCAGCCATGGGAAGGAGGTTTAGCGAGGAGAGAGGTGTGGAAGGAGCAGCCAGGAACTGCCCGAGGTTCATAACCATCCAATCCATCCCATCCTTCCACTGGGAAGTAGTCCCGACCTAAACCGCCCTGTGCCCTCTGAGACCCCTGCCACCCTCTCCACGCCGCACCCTGGCAGCCCGCACCAGGAGCCCCAAAGAAGCATCAGCCTGGGGAAGAGACAGTTTGAGGGAGTGCTTGTGGGGACTCACTCAAATCAGCCTGAAAGCAAAAGATTTCCAGCAAGCAAGCCCAAGAGAAGCTTCACTTTGAGCGTCAGGGTTAGGGGAGGGAGGGCGTGGACCAGCTTCACACCTCACAGCCTGGCTTTTGCGCCATGGGGCTCAGTGCAGAGGCCCTGTAAGAGCTGCCAACCTACACTAAGTGGCCTTGGAGACTCTCTCCAGGAACCTCTTCCTGAGGGCCACTTGTTCCATTTCGCCTCTTACCTCAACTCTTGCTGACACTTGGCCTAGAATCCAGGTCTGGCATTCCACCTTCTCCCCAAACATGGCGCTTCCAACCCACCCGGATTTCCAGAGCCTCAGAATCCGGTTCCTCTGTGCTCCTCCTCAACACCCAGTGCTGGCCCCCAGCCCCGCACGCTTCTCAGCCTTGCGAGTCATCGTCTCCCACCCATCCGACTCTTGTCCAGAGCAAAGAAGGGTTCATTTCATCTACAGTTTTCTTAAAAAAGATTATAGGTAGAAACTAACAAAATAGTAGAAGCTCATATGTGACAGCCAGGTTTTTTCATTGCTATTTTCTCCTTTTGGGAGAAATGATAAATGTTTCACACTCAGTTTTCAATCATCACGGAATAAATTCTCTCACTCTATAGGCTTTCGACATGGACACGTAGATCTTGGTTTTAAGTTCTTCTAGGTAGTCCCACTCTTTATTATGCTCACCCCTTATTGACATCTCACACTGTATTTGTTTATTTTTGTTACACATGAAGTTTGCAGCCCAGTGGGGAAGGCCTTTCAAAACAAACCATTTCATTATCTCCCTTCCTGCGGAAAGGCGTGAGCCAGAAACACGGAGCATCTGGAGACCAAGGGTAAAACTGGGCTTGTACAAACTCTGCCCAGAAAATTGTGTTGCACAGTGCTGAGAAGTGAGCCTGTCCAATTTTTTGCGGGGAATGAGGAGTGGAAAACAAGTTTTAAGGTGGGAAAGTTATGTCCCTGTCACTTTCCCTGTTGCCCTTGTGATGAGTGTGTTCATTCCTTCTCAGAAGCCATAATCAAAGTTCAGGACATGCGTGTACTTAATGCCCAGCTGTGCTTTTTAGCACAGTATCTGTGCAAACTCCCTCTCCCTGATGGATGACTCCATCTCTTCCCAGGTAGAAGAGGCCCCCAAAGTTTGGGTGTCATCGAATCAAGCCTGTGTGAGCCTACTTCCTAGCCCAGAATTTTTAAAAACATATTTGTAATAGCCTTAGACTCTAGAACGTGGTTACTTTTTATATAGTTTCAACCATCAATGTCACTAATAATAGACACATATAGGCAAAGTCAATTATTATTTTATCCCTGGAATGCCAGATCCCTGGGAAGAGACAAGGCACCCGTAAAAAGCTTAGTACCACCCTTTCAAAAGACTTTTAAAATGACCTCCTTAAAATAATTTTGTTTTCTGCTGTGTAAAAGAAGATTTATGTTTAATGAAGCTTTTAATGAAGAAATCTCGGAAAGAGAATGCCAATAAAATCTAATTTTTAAACAAGAAAATCTAATACTGAGAAGTATTTCAATATCCTGGCCTTTGTCCAGATATAAATGAAACACACAATCCAATTACTGTTCTGCACAAAGGACAAAGTAACATTAATTTTCCTCAAGATGGTTATTAAAGAGATAAACAGTATGTTTTCCCCTTATTATGTCAAGGATATGTTTGTTCCCAAGCCTACTTGGCTACTCTTACAAGACTGTTCTGTCCTGTCATTAGCTCATATCTTTTGGCAAAGATGAGTCCGGAGGAATTGGTGGATTTGTTAGTGGCCTCAGAAAAGGTTCTTTGTTCTTGAGGGTCTTTGAAGTAGGCTCTCAACCATTTCTATTCATCAGCGCAAAGCCAAGGATTCTTAGGACTTACTCGTTTAAAAACATTTACCTGTTTGCTCAAAGCTGGAGTCTGTTCTTGTTCTAAGAAGGAGTTAAATCAAAAGAATAAAGTGAAGAGGGGCAAAAATGTTTTTTTATAGAACATGAAAAACAGCACCAATAATAAAGCTTGAAGGGAAGCAGATCAAAGAGAGTAGTGCAAGCTATAAAGGAACCAGAAAATTGCAAAAATAACAGTAATAGAGAAACAAATTGATAGGCATCAAAATGAATACAAATAAGGAAAGGGGAAGAAAAATTAAATATAGATCAAAGACTGAAAGTAGAAAATAGGAAAGTGTACACTATTGTTTTTATTTGTAATTAATTTTGGTAATTATATTAGCCATATTACAAAAACAAGTATAGTTTTAAAAGACAATCAACAAATAATAAGTGGATGTATTAAAAAAAGCCTTTTATTGATATGCTCAAACCCATATGCATGTGACAATTGTATATTACTTCAGTTAGACAAATACAGAAAAGCACTCTAAACACAAAAACAATGAAAATCATTCTCCCAATTAAAATATAGTAGACTAATTAAATACATGTATTGACATCTATGTCTTACTAATCAATAGAAGTGTGTCTTTTATAAAAGTGGGAGCTGTATGT